GGGTAGTCTTGTGGCAGCGAATAGAGTGAAATTCTAAATGTAGATTGTTGTTATTCCAAGTAATTAATAATATAAATATCAAAGATGAAACTAAAACTCACCCGTACCCTCTGATAATTCCCTGACGAAAAACCTTATGCGAGGGGATGAATGCCGTATAACTTAGTTTAGCAAGTTCTGAGTGCCCAACTAAAGAGTTAGCAGCCGTAGCCGTACGCATCTCTATTGCTATTTTACCTTTTCCGATCTTTTTCATGCTATTGATATCCTTAGCAATAATTTTAGAAACATGTTTTTTCATAACCACCTCATAAGCTGGCTCTGTGATATTGTCCTCTTTAACCTGCATGTGCACAATGAAAGGGGGGAAATTTGACGATCCGTACCTGTTACCAGAAGAGTCTATAGTAGACGCGCTTCTAGAAGACGAGCCATCTTGAGCATCGATGGATGATGCGATATTTACACGTTCAGATCTCAGACTTTTCAGTGTTGGGGCCGTTAGCTCAAATCTAGAAGGGTTAGCGCGTTTCTTAGTCTGCCGTTCGACGTCGACTTCCATGGGTACTTGCGAATCAGTTGTAGACGGTAAGGAATCGTTCAAAGGACCATTCGCCGTAATGTTATTAGCAAATGATTCGAAACTTTCAACGGAGATAGGACCAATAGCGGAATCACCCGGGGAGGAGGCAGAGGGAGAGGCTCCCGGGACCTGAGAGCCCCCCCTCCCCCCCCTGAAGAATCACTCATCGAAACTTATATCCTAAGAAGCGCACGATTAAAGCACTAAAGAGTGGTTAGACGATTGAAAGTAAAGATTAATGGGCGGAATTATATCAGTAAAGGTACTTGAACGCTCTAAAAAGAGCAGATTGGAAGCTTATGCAGCGAAATAAAGCACCCTCGAAGCAGGGAACGTCCGTCCCTCACGAGAACCCGCGCGCCACTTTTTTTATGGGCTTATATGAATGTAACGATATGACCAATTTATATGATGAAATATATCCTGTTGTGCGTGAAAATGCGATAAATTTAGAGAATAAAAAAAGAAATAGAATAACGAATGCTTTGCCAATGAGAGTTTAATATTTATAATATCGATCGATGTAATTATTATTTAAATATATCAATAAACCTATTCAAGTTTTTAAAAAATTTTTAGAATTTAATTTTCATTTTCCCCCTTCTTCATTTCTGTGAATATGTTTTAAAATTATATGCCTAATAAATGATTGCACATAAAAATCTGTTTAAAAAAAATATGTATTTTTAAATTTGTAATAAAAAATACAAACACGAACAATAAATGTAATACTAATAATACTATAATACTGTAATACTAATAATACCATAAGTAACGCATTACTAATTTTAAAGTATCACATATGTAAACCAAAAAGAAGTTTTAAAACTTATATAAACTAAATTCATTTTTTTCAACAATAACTAGACTAGATAGTATATATTGTACTCTTTAGTTTATACAGATTAAAACATTTAAAAGTTTTACGAATGCTTCAAGAAGGTAAAAGTTATATTAGTATGTAATACATATCATCAATGTAACCTCATAACTTCAATTTGTTTTAAAACAAAGTATTTTTCACTTATGATATCTTATATACATTAAAACGCTCCTTTTCATATTTCTTTTAACATTAATTTCACAGCTCTCTTAATTAACAATTGCTCAAAGTGTAGTATGTCCTCATTCAGTATGCAAAAGTTTGTAATTCCTGGACAAATTTTAAATTTTATCTTCTGATGAGTGAAAAGGTGTTAACATATATCACAAATTAATTTAAAAAATAATGTTGAGGTTTACGTATTCAATGACGATTTAAAAAAATAGTCACAAAGTTTAATTGATGTGTTTAATAAACGATATGTATTATTCTAAGAAAAAAAGAAAATTGTAATATCAAAAGATTGGTTGCATTCAGCAGAAGAAGCAGCTTTGTAACTGTTGTAAAATTCTTGAATATGATTGGTTTATATACAGTGGCGTAACGAAGCCTATGTGCGCCCCCCCGCAAATTTATTTAGGCGCCCCCTTTTCTTCCGCCTTAATTTTTTGCATTTGAACCTTGAAAAGGTTCCACGTGTATTATGCAGCGTCGCGTCACGATACGATTTTTCACTTACCGCGCGACAAATGTTTCGATACGGTAACGCATCAAAATAAATATCTACCCTGGGCAGACTGCCCATCATATACATGCATGAATTTTCATGTAGGTAACTAGTTCAAACAAAATCAATCACAGATTCTTACAAATTAAAATTATTTGTTAATACTATGATACCTAGATGCGAACATACTTTTCATTTTACATAGTTTTTGTAAACGACAAGAAAACCACGAAGATTTTGCTCACAACTTGATTTGTTTAAAAACTATTTTTATTTTTAAAAAAATTGAAAAAAAAATTTTTCCTGTAAGTGATCAAGTATATTCTTTACAATGGCGCTGACTATGTTCATTTACTAAATTCGTGATTGTATAGTTTTCAGGGCGTTAAATGAAATTTTAGCACGAAGGTCGCCCCATAAAATAAAGGTAAAATTTTAACGCCTGTGATGAAAACAAAATTTTTTTATTTAACCGAGGGTAACAATGGCCATTTCCGAAATGGCATTTCGCCACTCGGCTTACGGGGCGTCAAATCGTCAATTTGACGATGATACTTTGAGATTGAAACCACTATTTTACTTGACCTTTTTTAATGACTCTTTATACATATTTTACTTTTTTACTAGCGCCCGGCGCCCCCGCCTTTGGTGCGCCCCCCCCGCACCGCAGGGTCTGCGGGGTCGTTAGTTATGCCACTGTTTATGTACATTTCGATCCAATGAAGAATTAAGGGTAAGACCAATCATATTGAAGAATTTTACAACGGTTGCAAAGCTGCTTTTTCTGTTGAATGCAGTCAATGTAATATCAATGTATAATGTATTATGTACTTTAATAATATAAAAATGAATCCATTATATTAATTAAAAAAATAGAATAGGATTTCTATTACTTGTTAATAAATTTTTGTAAAATATCTATTAACGCTCTGTCTACTTCCATTTTCTCTTTATGCATCTTTACACGTTCAAATCTTTCTTTTTCGTATCTTGCTTCTTTTTTTTGTTTGCGAAGTAGATTTTCTTCAAGTCGCTCTTTCTTCTTGTTCTCTCTCTCTTAACGAATTTCTTCGATGTAATTTTCTAGGATAATTTCGACCTTTCTTTTCTTCATTGGATCTAACAAGTTAATTTAAGAAAATAATATTAATGAAAAAGAATACATGAAAACTTTTTGGTCACTATAAACATATATAAATTAAAAAGATTCGAAATTTGAAGTAAATATGAATATTAAAATAAAAATTGATAGTAAAAACTGATAAATTTTATATTGATCATTGAATTAAATTATTTATTATTTTTATAGTTCATATAAGCTTTAGATGTGGACTTCTATTTCATAGATGTTTTTAAAAATACTTGCTTTGACGGACATCACTTTGTTACGATAGCGAAAGGCAATAAAAGAGTTGGTCAGAATGAAATAAATTAATTCTGTATAATTGCTCAAGCCGAAACTATGTATGAGGAACACGTATATATTTCTTTAATATTAATGCCAAGAAGGAACTTAAGTCGTTAGTATGAAATTAAGATTGCAAATACACAAATAATAAGTATCGTATAAAATCGTAAAGATAATCAGTGATATAGTAATAGTAAGGTTACGTATCCTTAAACCATACAAGTAATTGAAAGATGAAACGGACAGATGCGAAAGGCAATAATTAAAGGAATGTTAAATGCACAACATAATATAAGAATAATGAACCAGACATAGATAAAATAATAAAATAATGCTATATAAAAATACACAAGAGAACAATATTAAGGTTATAAGTCACATATAGATAATAATAATCTGAGTAATGTTAGACACACTAGGTTATATAGATATAAATGAGAAAACAGCCTTAAATGGTATAACAACCGAAGAATAACATGGCTGCTTATTTAATTACAAGAGAATTGTTATTTCAGTAATGTTTTAAGTGATTTAAGCTCGAGACAGCTAGAATCTCGATCGATATGCTTGTAAAAGGAACCACTAATAACAGTATCAAGAATGAGAATGATAGATAACGAATAGTCTATCAGCCGTAACGTTAACTTCTCAAGAATCGATGAAAAGATAATACAAGGAAAGTGGCTCAAAATGTCTCTTGCTGGAATTCATATCCTCTACCGCTGAGCGAGGTTCGTATTTTATGTCTACTTGACAAGTTGACGACTATCCAATCAATCTAACGGATACTTAGCTCGTAGGTGGCTGGACTATGCCAAGGATGCTTTCTCTGACGGCTGGAATATGCCGACTGTACACTCTCTGACTGCTGGAATATGCCGATTGTACACTCTCTGACCGTACACACTCTGACGGCTGGAATATGCCGATTGTCCTCTCTCTGACGGCTGGAATATGCCGACGATACTCTCTGACGGCTGGAATATGCCGAAGGTACTCTCCGAGATGGCGGGAATATGCCAACTGTACTCTCTCTGACGGCTGGAATATGCCGACGATACTCTCTGACGGCTGGAATATGCCGATTGTACACTCTCTGACCGTACACACTCTGACGCCTGGAATATGCCGATTGTACGCTCTCTGACGGTTGGAATATGCCGATGATACACTCTCTAACGGCCGGAATATAACGCGACTCGACGGACATCTTGTCCATATACACAATGAATCCTTTGTCTCGAACTTGCCGGAAGAAGGTCGAAAAGAGAGGGGGCAATATGGCGCACCGGTAACCGAAATGCCACCACGCCGCGCTCGCAGCGCCTTCCAGGCGCCGATCGTAAATTCCCTATACACACTCTAGAGCTTTCGCTAGCGCGAGCACGGGAGCGGCTGATTTAAGACCGCGAACTCGTAACATTCCGCCCGCCTTCGTTAATTCAGTTAACGAACTAAACTATAGAGTATCTCCTGGAATAGGGAGTGGACAGAGTTTGACAATCGGTCTCTTAAAGGTAGACGATGAAGTCTTGACAGTAACAACTCTAATAAGCCCGTCCTCCCCAGGGTGAGTAGCGGTGACTCGTCCGAGCGGCCACTTAGCTGCCGGATACCTCTCATCGACGATTAAGACCAATGAACCCTCATGGATCGTCTTATTCCTTTGAGTCCATTTAGAGATGGCATGATACCTTTGTAAACTCTCTCGAGACCACCGGGTCCAAAAATGGTCAATCATTTGACGTAGGAGTTGCCACCTTGATAGTCGAGAAATGCGTTCCTCCTCCAAAGAGGGTTCAGGCACAAGTTTAGGAGCATTACCAATAAGGAAGTGACCTGGAGTTAGCGCGGTTAAGTCCTCTGGGTCGTCACTACATGGACACAACGGCCGAGAATTGAGAATGGCTTCCACTTGAATGAGGAAAGTGGTCATTTCCTCGTACGTTAATACGGATTCTCCTATAGCTCTGCGTAGGTGGTACTTGACCGATTTTACCCCTGCTTCCCACTTTCCACCGAAGTGGGGGGCCGATGGAGGGTTAAACTTCCACTGCGTTCCATCGGTTGCTAGTAGGTCGGCTAAGTGTCGAGCTTCTTTGGTAGCTGCTGTAAATAGTTGTTGCAATGTAGCCTCAGCCCCTTTGAAGTTTGTACCGCAGTCGCACCAAAGAGTAGCACAAATTCCTCGACGTGCGGTGAAACGTTTATAGGCCGCTATAAAGGCGTCTGTTGTATAATCCGTCACTAGTTCTAGGTGAATGGCGGAGGTTGCAAGACACACAAACAGGGCAATGTACGCCTTATACGTGCGAGCATTTTTTCCTCTCCAAGTTTTGAGAGTGAGGGGTCCAGCGTAGTCAACTCCTGCGTTGAGGAACGGTCGGGAAGGAGTTACTCGCTCTTTTGGTAGGGGGCCCATCCTCTGCTGAGCTCGGGCACGACGAAAGCGAGTGCATCGTATACATTTCAATATGTAACTTCGGATAGGAACTCGACCTCCGATGATCCAGAATTCTTCTCGAATCGTGTATAAGGTGAGCTGAGTTCCACCATGACAAGTTCTTAAATGAGCGTCTGCGATAACTAACGTGGTAAAAGGAGACTGTTTTGGGAGGATAATCGGATGCTTGGAATCATGACTCAAAGATGAGGATTGAAGGCGGCCTCCCACACGTAAAATTCCGTCGGGATCCAGATGAGGGGTAAGTCGAGTTAGAGAAGAAGGTATTGAGTTTCCATCCGAAAGTAACTGGATTTCTGGATTAAAGTTCGATTGCTGTATCACTCTTACCCAGAATAATTTAGCGGTTTGCAATTCCTGAGTGGTAATCGGATACACTAAGGAGGAATTAGGAATCTTTCTGAATCTATCGATGACTCTTCTACAAAGAGCTGTAATGCGGAGTAGACGCTTAAGGGAGGAATATCTAGTTAATAGATCCCAACATTCGGATGGTTGAACACCAACTGTGGTTATCTGAACAGGTCGTTCCTCTAAGTTATCTACTTCCTCCAAGTTGATTGGGAGGGTTGGCCACGAAGATGGTGGCTCCACTAACCAAATTGGTCCAGTCCACCACGATAAATGTTCAGATAGTTGACGAGGCGTCAGGCCTCGGATTGCCAAATCTGCAGGATTTTCCGCTCCAGGTACGATACCCCATTGGGCTTGCGGCAATGTTTCTTGGATGAAACATACTCTATTGTGAACGAAATCCTTCCATCTGGAAGGATGGTTGGAGATCCAAGTGTGAGTGACAGTTGAATCCGTCCACAGATAAATTGGGACGCCCAGTCGATCCAAGAGGCGTAATAGATGTTTAACGAGTTTAGTTAGCAATGTGGCACCTGCAAGCTCCAAACGTGGGATTGTTATCCGCTTTAATGGTGCAACTTTGGTTTTGGAGCAGATCAATTGGGCATGCACTATCCCGTCTTCAGAAGTCGTGCGGCTGTAAACTACAACGGAGTATGCTTGAGGGGAAGCGTCTGAGAACCCATGAAGTTCAAATGGTTGGTTGGATTTTAGCCCAATCCATCTTGGAAAATTTAATGTAGGCAAATCTTTCAATGCGTCGAGGCATATAGCCCACCGTCGAGTTGTAGAGGATGGGAGCGGATCGTCCCAATTAAGTTTCAATGACCAGAGCTCTTGCATAATTATTTTAACCCCAATAGTGATAGGGGAGATTAACCCCAGAGGGTCAAATATCTTAGCTATAGTAGACAGTACGGTTCGTTTAGTAACCGGTTCCTGGATAATAGGAAGGTAGGTAAATTTGAAGGAGTCAGTATGAGGTTGCCATGTAACGCCGAGCGATGGAATAGTAGTAGCTTCTTCAATTCTTATGGAGGACGAAGAAGTCTGATTTCTTTCGGGAAGGACGTCTAGAATATCGGCTTGGTTTGTAGCCCATTTCTGGAGGCGGAAGCCGCCCGCCATGCATAACTGATTTACTTGGTTAACAAGTTCTCGTGCTTGGTCGATAGAATCGCCACCTCCAAAGATATCATCCATATAACGGCCATGGGTCAGAACGGGGACTGCTTGAGGGAATTCCTTTCCTTCATCTTGAATTAACTGATTCATCACGCTAAGGGCTAGAAACGGAGCGCATTTCAGTCCGTATGTGACAGTGGTAAGCTGGTAGGTATTCAACGAACCTTCGGAGTTTATCCAAAAAATCCGCTGATATCGCCAATCATCAGGATGTACTTGTATTTGGCGATACATCTTTTCGATGTCCGAGGAAAATACATAAGGAAATTGCCGGAACCAAATGAGTACGTCGAATAAATCAGTTTGTAGCTTGGGACCAATATGTAATAAGTCGTTCAATGAAGATCCAGAAGTAGTCTTACTGGAACCGTTGAATACGACTCTAAGTCGCGTGGTTCGACTAGTCTCTCGAACGACCCCATGATGAGGTAGATAAAAGGAAGCAGGTGGTTCTGGGTCGGCGTCAGGTACTAAAATCATGTGTTGTAATTCCGCGTATTCCTTTATAAAGTCCGAATATAGCTGCGCATAGTTCGGGTCCGACTCGAATTTTTGATGTAAGCGATAGATGAAACGGACAGCCTTTTCCTTAGAGTTTCCCAACAAATCAGGAGATTTTCTGAAGGGCAGTCTCACAGTGTAACGCCCTTGTGAGTCCCTTGTATGGGTGGTCTCAAAGTGCAACACGCAGGCCTGCTCTTCAGGAGATAAAGAACTCGTAGGCGAAGGCGGAACTTCCTCCAACTCCCAGAATTTATGAAGCAACGAATATAGATTGTCTTCAATCTTCACATGGTAAACTCGCCCGACCGTTGCTTGGTCGGGTTCTCTAGTTGGCCCCGAAATGATCCATCCGAGATTTGTGTATTGTGCGATTGGAGAATTCAAAGTCCCTCTAATAAGGCCTTCTCCGATGATTGAGCCATACAGATCGGCTCCTAGAATCATATCAATTGATCCCGGGACTGAATACAGTGGATCCGCAAGTTGTAATCCTTCCAGATGTGGCCATAAGGTTTGATCTGTCGTGGCCGATGGAACTGGAGCTGTAAGATGAGTAAGGATATGTGCGGTGACGGCGCATTGAAATTCAGATGGAAAATTAGGACGAAGGTGAACGTTAACCACCCCTCTTGTCTTGTTTGAGGCTTTACCGCCGATTCCTGTCAACGATACCGATGAGCGGGTTCGACTCATTCGTAGAAGTTGTACTGTCCTTTCCGTAATTAAAGACACCTCCGATCCTTTATCTATCAGAGCTCTCACGGTAATGACATTACCATTTGAGGAAACGAGCCTGACTTGAGCAGTAGCCAACAACACCCTGGGAGAAATTACAGTAGCGGTGGCGATCGAGTGCATTGCCCGAGCCGTTTCTGTGGCAGATGTAACCGTTGAAGGTTTGGTTGGCTTGGTGCTATCTGGCTCGGCTTTAGTAGGTTGGGAAAAACCCGGATGAATGGAGGTGTGATGTTTTTTCCCACATCTTACACAACGTCTGACGGTTCGACAGGCGGCCACACGGTGAGTTCCTAAGCAATTGTAGCACAACTTGTGCTTAGAAATAATCTCCAGCCTTTGCGGTAAAGATTTCGACCGATACTGATGGCAATTCGAAGGATGATGCTTGGCCGAGCAAAGAGAGCAGCAAAGGTTTTGGTGGCCTTCCTTCTCTTTTGACTTCCCCTGATAATGAGCCTTAAGGGCGGTTGGTAGTGGTGTTATCGAAGATTTACTAGATCGCGACCTCTCATAAGCCTGTAGTGACCGAAGGCGAGATACCAAAAAGTCGGTAAACTTGATCCATGTAGGAGGCTCGGTCGTTGCTCCGAGGAGTTGTTCCCAAGCCTTAACAGTCTCCGAATCGAGCCGTTGTACAATAAGGAAGACAAGGAAGTCGTCCCAACTTTCGACTGGTCGTCGCAAGGTTTCCAATGATGTGTATATTTGCATGGCACTAGTATACAGGCGTTCCAGATCCATGGCGGATTCTTTATTCATCCGTTTTAGATTCAGTAGCGACTGAAGTGCAGCGTTAACCAATAACGTTTTGTTCTCATAAAATGAGGAAAGCGTCTCCCAAGCCTTAGGAAAATTGTCCTCTGTTACAGCCATGTTCTTCAACAGATGGGCGGCAGAGCCGGTTAAGCTCGTCTTCAGATATTGCAACTTCTCGACCGCTGTTATAGAATGGTTCACTATAACTAAAGAATGGAAGAGGTCTTTAAATGAGAGCCAGTCTGATAAAGTGCCGTTAAACTTTGGAAGATCAATGCGTGGCAGTCTTGTCGCGTGATAAACAGGATAGTTGACCTGAATAGGTGTGTCTTCGCGACTTAATGAAGATCCATGAGAAGTTCCTTGGTCGGTTTCGAGCAATAGGCGAGTACGTTCATTCGTTTCGAAATAAAGCTCACGAGTCGTCTCGAAAACATTATTAGTGAAATAGGAGTGTCCTTGAGCGAGCAGTCTGTCCTCAGAATTCAGCGCACTCATGGCAACAATAATAGCTTCGTTTACCGTTGAGAATTTTTCCCAATCTTCCTGAAGGGCTAAGTCGAGCTTGAATTCGATAAGGATTCAGGTTATTTATCCCCCCTTTAGTTAAATTATCATAAGAATTGGAAATAAGAACTTTGAGCGCAACTTGCTGCTCTAAACGAGCCTCTAAGTGTGAAAGTCTCATTGTGATTTGACCAACCTATTACAATCCGGCTCGAAGGACCAAAAATGTTACGATAGCGAAAGGCAATAAAAGAGTTGGTCAGAATGAAATAAATTAATTCTGTATAATTGCTCAAGCCGAAACTATGTATGAGGAACACGTATATATTTCTTTAATATTAATGCAAAGAAGGAACTTAAGTCGTTAGTATGAAATTAAGATTGCAAACACACAAATAATAAGTATCGTATAAAATCGTAAAGATAATCAGTAATATAGTAATAGTAAAGTTACGTATCCTTAAACCATACAAGTAATTGAAAGATGAAACGGACAGATGCGAAAGGCAATAATTAAAGGAATGTTAAATGCACAACATAATATAAGAATAATGAACCAGACATAGATAAAATAATAAAATAATGCTATATAAAAATACACGAGAACAATATTAAAGGTTATAGGTTACATATAGATAATAATAATAATCTGAGTAATGTTAGACACACTAGGTTATATAGATATAAAGAAGAAAACAGCCTTAAATGGTATAACAACCGAAGAATAACATGGCTGCTTATTTAATTACAAGAGATTGTTATTTCAGTAATGCTTTAAGTGATTTAAGCTCGAGACAGCTAGAATCTCGATCGATATGCTAGTAAAAGGAACTACTAATAATAGTATCAAGAATGGGAATGATAGATAAAGAATAGTCTATCAGCCGTAACGTTAATGTCTCAAGAATCGATGAAAAGATAATGCAAGGAAAGAAACTCAAAATGTCTCTTGCTGGAATTCATATCTTATACCACTGTGCGAGGTTCGTATTTTATGTCTACTTGACAAATTGACGACTATCCAATCAATCTAATGGATACTTAGCTCGTAGGTGGCTGGACTATGCCAAAGATGCTTTCTCTTAGGGCTGGAATATGCCGAAGGTACACTCTCTGACGGCTGGAATATGCCGACGATACACTCTCTGACTGTAAACTCTCGGACGGCTGGAATATGCCAATTGTACGCTCTCTGACGGCTAGAATATGCCGATTGTACGCTCTCTGACAGCTGGAATATGCCGATTGTACACTCTCTGACGGCTGGAATATGCCGACGATACACTCTCTAACGGCCGGAATATGACACGACTCGACGGACATCTTGTCCATATATACAAAGAATCCTTTGTCTCGAACTTGCCGGAAGAAGGTCGGAAAGAGAGGGGGCAATATGGCGCACCGGTAACCGAAATGCCACCACGCCGCGCTCTCAGCGCCTTCCAGGCGCCGATCGTAAATTCCCTATACACACTCTAGAGCTTTTGCTAGCGCGAGCACGGGAGCGGCTGATTTAAGACCGCGAACTCGTAACATACCGAAATGCCACCACGCCGCGCTCGCAGCGCCTTCCAGGCGCCGATCGTAAATTCCCTATACATACTCTAGAGCTTTCGCTAGCGCGAGCACGGGAGCGGCTGATTTAAGACCGCGAACTCGTAACACACTTGATGACGGTGACGCAGACGATATAGCATTTGTGATCGATTGTGTGGGTTGGGTTGGACCATCACTCGATGCCTCAGAAAGAGGTTTTGTGCATGCTTTATTCCCAAATATGGAATCCACTACCTATTGAAAGAAAAAAGTCTATTATTACAATATTAGGATTGTTTCGATTGCTGGAAAATCATAGGAATCATACGTACACCCTGTTTCCTTTCCTGCGCAGTACTTTCTCCACGAGATACACGTCCGGATGAGTAGAGCGATGCAACTCGTGCTCGTAGAACGCTCTAGCGATGGATTTTCATTGATGGTAGTCAATATAGTTGTAGTTTCCATCGATATGAAATATATCTTTCGAGTTTGAAAATATCAGATATTTGCTATCACAAGAAATTAGCACAGCAAAAATTGATTGGTACGCTGCACTTTAACGATCTTAAACACCTCGGTGGTCCAATTTGACGTGTAGCCCTTCTCAAAAACCGTCTTGTACTTGCTCACGCGTACCGAATCACCAACTTTGAATTTTGCCGGACCAGCGATTTTTATCGCGCTGTACACCGTGTCCAAGAGTCTTTCGGCGATCGCGGGAGTTACGTCGG